AGATCCAACCATACCTCAAACCTCACAGTAATCCGAAATACAGAACCTGGACCATGCACCCCCCAACCTGATGAAAAACACAGCACAGCAGAGGTTACCTTAGGAGGGGGGGTGGAGCCCCCCTTTTTTCTTTCTCATCCCACCTTTCTCTCCTGCACCCTTTCTTTCTCTGCCTCTCATATCCTCTCTCCCCTCTCCCCCTTCCCTCTCTAACTCTCGCCAATGCCAACCTATACTCATCAACCGCTCAATCCCCTAATGCCATATTCTTCGTTAACACAGACAGATAGAATGTACTGCACATTCTCATAGATACCATGGTTATTTCCCTTATCACTTATTTTATTTTTATTTTTTTTCACAATATCTCCCCCAATAGTCTACCTGCCAACAAGCAACCAATTTACTATATGAAAGTGTTGGTAGTAACCAACATATCCTGTATCAACCTGCATGTTTAAACGGATCCATACACTACTTCATTATAAATTAGGAGACATATGTTTATGCCTATGTCATAATACTCCTTTCTGTACTCTAACAAAACCACAATGACTATTATCATTATCGTTTCTTATTGTTTATAAGCTTGTATCAATAAACATGTTTTTTTTAATAAAAAAAATAAAAATATTATGAGCTTTTTACATTTACACACAATTTGAAACTTAATGATATGCAATGTTGCTATCTGTAATTTCATTATATGATTTCTGTAAGGAACTAAATTCATTCACAATCTCAAAGTACTTTTCTAAAATTATCTAGAAATAAGCTGGTGCAATTCAAATGCTCATGGCAGCGGCTTCCTATAGAAGTAGAAGGTATCAGCTATAACTGTTGGCAAACTGGAAGAGTTGTAGTGCAGGCCTCCTCAAATCCAAATTCTCCATTCTTCACAGAGAGACATATTATTACTTAACCAATTTGTGACTTTGATTTTTACATTTGTCGATGTTGCAGAAAAGTGATATAGTCACATTTTTTAAAAAATTTAAGCTTCTTATTTGCCCCCACTTTAAGGGACATCTCCATTTTTTCACCAAGAACTCAGAATCAAGACACAGACAAAAATGCTATTTTTTTGCATGAGTAGTTTGCTCGGTTATATTTCTGTATGGCTATTCTGAATTAAGAAATTCAGATGACCTACTGATCCTCCTAAATTTGGATGAATTGCAATTTAATCAAAACCCAATGCACAACTCTTACCTGCGTTATTTTAAGAGACACAACATAAAATCTGATATTGTGCCATGAGCTAAAATAGAGTTAAGATATATATAGCAGTCTTTTTGTAGAGGATCAAGGTGAAGTAATGATCCTTACCATGATGTTCAAATTATTAGTAGGTGGCAGCACAGTGTTAGATGAAGTTTTTGAAACTGCCCATTTGATCATCACTTCCTCTTGATCCTTTACAAAGAGACTGCTACTATATTAACTGCTCTTTACCTCTTTTTATTCTTATTTGTGATATCCTTGTGGGAATAGAGGGAAACTCACCTATTACATTATTTGCTGCCTACTTCCTTTTTTTATTTTAGCATTTCTATATCATTTTGTGTTTTATAAATACTGATATAATCATACACTAAAATACAGAGAATAATTGTGCCAACTGTAGCGAAGCTCCCTGTACCCCAACTGGGTACCTCTGCCAAGGACCGCTTCCTAGCTGGAACAGGGGACAAAAACCACAGCACTTCTACCCACAGTCACTGTGGCTTGACTGGGGTCCTGGAGCCGAATGGGGAATTAGCTCTAGACACCCTCAGGCACTGGATGACACTCAGTCTTGGGAGCTCTAGTCCTTACAAGGACTTTCCCTGTTAAAGCTGGAACAGCAGACATAGGAGTAAATCTTCCTTCCTTCCAATAACTGGACAACACACAGTTTTGGAGTGTAAGCTGGAATAGATTTTAATGGTGCCATACTTGGCCTTTTATGCAAGTCCCCAAGCAAGGGGTACACCCACATGGACCTTGTTGGGGACAGGGATACAAACTGCCAAACCAATAACAACACATTTACAATGTAAGGTGCTCCCACACAAGACAAACAATCCCTCCCCTCTGACGGGGAGATAATTGGATCAGATACTGCATTAACTCAATTATCTCCAGGCAGAATTTTTTTTTTTTTTTTAAAGTCCCAAAAGTAACCCAAAACACATGATATCCCCACAAATGTCACATCCCCTGATAGTCCTGATCTGGGTGACCAACATGTCCAAAAATCACCCAGATCAGTTCAGGGGTTCAGAAATTCTATAATTTATTTGACCGACCGCAGGCATGGTCCCATGCCCAAAACAGTTCCAGAGAATTAGGGCTTGTGGTCAGTCTAGTTCGGTAGTTTGAAAACGAACAAACTACCGAACAGAGTCAATAGTCTTACCCTGGAGCTTGTACCCTTCATCCAGATGAATGATCCCACCAAACAGTGCTCTTCTAACTTGTATAGAAATGAACTCAGGCGATGATGGAAGTCTAGCCGTGTTCGGGAGTTTCTGTGGTCGATTTTAGTTCCAGGAGATTCATGCCCAAACACTGCTGCCTGCATTCATGCGAAAAGATGTCCGCCAAGTCGTCGTTGTCCATAGGAATTGCAGCCACCCAAACGAATAATTAGAATGCTGCGGTGAGAAACGTTCCAAGTTGTTAATAGGTGTTAACAAGCTCCAGGGTGGTCTCTGGTTTGTGCGGTTGTTCGTTAATTCAAAGTGCCGCTTCGAAAGTTCAAAGTATGGCCATATAAGTCCAAACAGGCACACACAGAGACTTTAACATTATATTTCACCAGGTCCATAGTCTGTGGGCAGGAGGCTGGCAATCAGGCTCCTCCAGGAGCTCATGGCAAACTCTTGTACAAAGGGGAGTCTGTCACACCAACCAAGCAATTTAATCAAGCAAGGGATTTCCTGCAGCTTTAAAATATATGTGGTTCATTGTTTAAATTAGCAGAGCTAATTGCAATATTATCTGCTATATTTTATTATTACATAACATTAAATAATCACACATAACAATTCTATAATGTATTGGTATTTAATTGTAACTGACATTCAACCAATATAGGACATATATTTGTCCTATTTGCAATTATTTACTAATTATTGTTCATGACAAAGTGTCAAGTGTCATGTAACCAGGAGTCATATCACAATACAGCCTACGCTATGTATACTTAATCTATACAATATAACATTTCTAATGACTTACTTAAAGCATATAACTGCCATGGCAATCATAATTTAGTACAGAAAAAGATAGATGAACATACATATAATTAAATTTGCATTATTTCACTCATTAATATAACCCTTAACATTATTCTATAATTATGCAAGATGTACTTTAAACTCAGAGCAATACATCTATCAAGACAGCAGTATATAACAAACAATTGCCAGTACCAACCACCTGAATCCTTTATTCATTGGGCTAAGTGGAAATGTATCCTTGACCAGATTTTACCCCCAACTAGAAGACTGAAACAAAAGCCTGATACCATCCACTTAACCAGTTACTTGTACAGGCTTTTCACTTGAGATAATACTAAATTACAGGAAGCAAAAGTTTCACCTTACACATAGCCATCAACTGAGAAAATTGGTTTAGAAAGCCTATGATTCATCATGTATACAACCTGTAATTTTAGTTGATTCATATAATATAATTTATGTCACTTTAAAACATGGATATGAAATTGTATTACTTTTAAAGGAAATATAAGAAAATGTGGGCAATAACGAAGCAAACTAACGCAATGTAGTGTGCAATAAACTGGTGTTTTGCAATATTCCTTTCTATCCCTGTATATTCATATAAGTTTGGGGTTATTTATCTGTACTTATTTACCTATCCACAGTGGTGAGGCTAGACATTTTTTCATACGGGGAAGATACTTAGTTAAGTGCCCCTTATTTTTCATTTCTAGTACAAGCAGTCAGAGCATGTTGGATCAGTGAGATCACAGCATGCACCCACCTGCTGGCTTTACCGTCAGCCACCATGATAGATTGCCTTGTATGTAAAGAAAGCTACATGTGGACTTTGTATGTTGTGTTTATGGTGAGTGTGACAAGGTGTGTGACAGGGTGAGGGGTGGTGAGTGACTGTGGCATGTTGATGAATGTGACAGGGTTAGGGAGTGTAGTGTGACAGAGTTAGGGGGTGAGTGTGACAGGGCATCTGGCAGGAAGAGGGGTGGTGATTGTGAAATTGGCAGGTTGGTGAGTGTGACAGGTCTAGGGAGGTTAATGTGAGAGTTGTGGGTGGGTGAGTGTGACAGACTTTCACAGTGAGAGCACGCCAGCATCCATAGGAAAGCATTATGAGTCAGCTCTTGCCGCACGTGCGCATTCAGCCGACGGGGAGGAGAAGAGGAGGATCGGAGGAGGAGAGCTCATCGCCCAGCGCTGGAAAAAGGTACGTTTTAACCCCTTTACCCCTTCCAGAGCCGGGCGGGAGGGGGACCCCGAGGGTGGGGGCACCCTCAGGGCACTATAGTGCCAGGAAAACGAGCAATAAACTATAGAAAACGAGCAATAAACTATAGAAATAAACTATATTTATATATAGTTGAGCGGACACCTGGATGTTCTGTGGCGGTATAGGTGGAAGCAGCGGTGAAGGAGGAGGATGAGGTAGCCAACACTGTTTTTTATGTTTTTTTTTTTTTTATTGTGGTAACCCCCAAAATATTTGGACATACAAAAAAAGAAACATTTGCGGCCTGAGGTGCATTTCTTGCAGTCCTGATGCATGGAGAAATGCTCAACTCCTGATGCGTGTAGAAAAGGCCTTCACAAGCCTATGCTAATGTGTACCTAGTTTATACAAAGTGACCCACAGGTTGAGGAGGCGGTGACCATGTCGGTGGAGAAGGAGGATGAGGTAGCCAACACTGTTATATATATATATATATATATATATATATATATATATATATATACAAAAAATATAATTTAGGCACTCACCCCTGAAGAGTTCCAATTAAATCTTGCCTTTAGTGCATCCAATGTCCCAAATATACATCAAGCGATAAACTGGAGCACTCAATAAATTTGAGTGCTCCAGTTTATCGCTTGAGATATATATATATATATACATATATATATTTATTTTTTAATTTTTTTTAATTGAGGTAGCCCCCAAAATATTGGGACATATAAAAAAAAGACAACTCTGTTCCGCAGAGTAGCTGTTGACATTATAGTTGCGCAGGCACTTTGTTGACTCTAGAGAACCTCGGGCCAATCGCACATCCCCATGGCGACGACTTTGCATGCAGATGTCATCCATATCAACTTTCGATGCCAGTTTCTGCGCCTACCATGGTGACCACGGGAAATGGGGAGTCAGAGTTCCATTCCGTACAGGGACCCTGAGAAACGGCTACCACATGCAAGGAAGGCAGCAGGCACGCAAATGACCCACTCTTTCGAGGCCCTGTAATTGTAATGAGTCCACTTGAAATCCTTTAACTTTGATCAATTGAAGGGAAGTCTGGTGCAGAGCCACTGACTCATGCGTGCTGCAGCTGAAACTCCACTATCACCTTGCAGCTTCTCACACAGTCTCATGAGGAGGTGAGCTGGAAGGCCGAAGTTACGCTGCAGCGCAGACAGGCGAGCAGCAGCAGGATGAGAACGCCAAAATCACGCACAGCCGCTTCAGTGAATGCTACATCCTGTTCCAAGTTGCAGATCAGTTTGGTGATGGCTTCTGGTATCCATTACTCTTTTTACTGAAGCTGCATCAGGGTCCTCGTATGTGGCCGCACAAATTCTGGTGCTCAACACCAGGGGGCGTGCGGTTACCCTGCACCAGACCCTGCTAATCCATTCCACACTGTGACTCCTAACTTCAACATCAGGCATACTGGGTCCCGGTCATCCGACCGCTGCTCAGACAGTGTCTGGGTCCTGTACACCGGACTGCCCACCTCACTGTGAATCTACGAATGGATCGTTAAATCTGGTACGAACCCGAACTTTGCAGTTCGGGTTCGCTCAACTCTATCCTTTGATCGCTACATGTATTACTTGGATAACTGGTAATTCTCGAGCTAATACATGCCGACGAGCGCTAGGGGACGACCGCTCCGCTTTTGCGCCCTGCTCCCTCTTATGCTGTGCTGGTGCCTCTCTGCGACCAGCGCCTCTTCCTCCAAACTGCACACTTCACTCGCATGACCTTGATTCCATGTGGAGTCTAGGACCTCATCATCCTCAACATCATCTTCCACCCACTCCTCAACCCTGCCCTCCTTGCCGGTATGCACACTGCAGAAAGCCACAGCAGTTGGCACCTGTGTTTTTCCAGCATGTAAAGTCTGCAAAGGACATATGGAAATTGTTTTAGAATTTCCTCCAGGCAACAGTTTTCCCTATAAACTGACCTCTCAGCTTGACTTGTGAGGGTATTGCCCCAGAATTACAATATTGTTGAAGTACCTCTTGGCTGTTGATCACTGGTTTAAATATAGCAGCTTGTTATCTGGTAGTTTCTAGTGTAGAAAATATCAATCTGTTTTCTATCACTTAGATCTGTGTAACAAGTGTTGTAGGTGTGAAACAATATTATAAGTGACCGATGTAGTAAATTTGAATCAAAGTTCCATTTGCAAAATAAACTCTTCTGTGGGTTATTGCATTTTTAAGATGTAGACTTATTGTATCACACTAGCCATGCACAAGTAGATTGTCTGGCACATTGTTTTGGTGTTTGGTTTTTAACTTTGTAGTTGTGTCTTTACACAATATAGAAATGTATATTAATGCTTCTGTATATGAAGCGATCTCAATAACACTTATTTTTCACTAAAAAAAAATTAAAAAATCAGGCTACACAAAAATTGGTAATTCACAATATGACATCTGAAAAGCACATGAAAGGATGCTGTATGATTTAAAAAAAAAAAGAACACACAGGTCCTGTTCACTAGAGTGTGTAGTCATGAATGTAACCAGTAAAACTTTGTTTTTACATCCACTGGTTGGCCCATACATATTTTAAAACATGTTTACGTTTGTTGTAGCATGACTTGTAGATATGAAGAGCAGGCCCCAAAATTTACTATTTAGCAGATTAGCACCCAGAAAATTAGAATTTTTACAAGTGCATTGTAAGCACACTATTAGACACTTGTATTTGACTCTTAGATATGAAGTGCATCCCACTAAAATGCTATTTAGCAGTTTAGCACCCAAAACATTTTATGTTTTAAAAGTGCAATGTGACAGCAGTATTTGAAGTTTCTATTTGACTCTCACATATGAAGTGCACCGCAGACCGCAAATGTACTATTTAGCAGATTAGCACCCAGAAAATAAGAATGTTTACCACTGCGCTGTAAGCACATTATTAGACGCTTCTATTTGACTCTCAGATATGAAGTGCAGTCCGCAAATGTACTATTTACCAGATTAGCACCCAGAAAATAAGAATGTTTACCACTGCACTGTAAGCACACTATTAGACACTTCTATTTGACTCTCAGATATGAAGTGCAGTCTGAAAATGTACTATTTAGCAGATTAGCACCCAGAAAATAAGAATGTTTACAATTGCGCTGTAACCGCAGTATTTGACGCTTCTATTTGACTCTCAGATATGAAGTGCAGTCCGCAAGTGTACTATTTAGCAGTTTAGCACCAAAACAATTAGAATGTTTACACCTGCACAGTACGCACACTATTAGACGCTTCTATTTGACTCTCAGATATTAGGAGCAGGCCCCAAAATTTACTATTTAGCAGATTAGCACCCAGAAAATTTGAATTTTTACAAGTGCGCTATAAGCACACTATTAAATGCTTCTATCTGACTCTCAGATATGAAGTGCATGCCCCAAAATGTACTATTTAGCAGATTAGCACCCAGAAATTAAGAATGTTTACCACTGCGCTGTAAGCACACTATTAGATGCTTCTATCTGACTCTCAGATATGAAGCGCACCCCACTAAAATACTATTTAGCAGTTTAGCACCCAGAAACTTTTAAGTTTTAAAACTGCAATGTGACAGCAGTATTTGACACTTCTATTTTACTCTCACATATGAAGTGCACCCCCCTAATGTACTTTTTACCACCCAAAAAAAAATTAAGTTTTAAAACTGCAATGTGACAGCAGTATTTGACAATTCTATTTGACTCTCAGGTATGAAGTGCACTCCACTAATGTACTATCCCACTAATGTACTATTTAGCACACAAGAAAATTGACTTTTTAAAACTCTAATGTAACCGCGGTATTTGAAGCTTCTATTTGACTCTCAGATATGAAGTGCACCCCACCCCACTAATGTACTAGTTTGCAGAATTCTTTCCTAAGCTGTCCCTATCGGCGGCAGCATCTTCTCCCTACACTAATAAGACCTCATGTGCGTCCGGCGCTACGCGACTCCAGCTTATATAAAGAGGCTGGGTCACATGCTGCACTGACCAATCACAGCCATGCCATTAGTAGGCATGGCTGTGATGGCTTCTAAGGGCACACGAGTCAAACGCTTGTTGATTGGCTGCCCTGCAGCCTTTGAAAATGCGCCATTAAATCGCAGAACACCAAACTCCAACCCGAACAGAGATATGTCCGTGTTCGAAAGGGGGAAACAATCCTGGTGCTCCAGTGTGGTCCCTAGTGGTCCAGTGAGCTGTTGGTGCAGCTGCAATCTTCTAAGTACAGTGATTTGTGATGATGTCAGTGTGAAGGCTGGGAAACCAGGCGCCTGCACTCTGACTCCCTAGCAGAGTGCCAGAAATGCAAGGGAGGGCAGCTGCATCATGGACCATCAGAGAGTCAATATGCTGGCTTAAACAGGCGGTCCCAATAAGAGCCAGAAATTACGAGCATACAAGTGTGGCAGCAGTGCCCCTTTTCACAGATTTTGCAATTGCAGGCATATTGAGCTTCAGCAACATTGCTGGGATTTCATCAGGACCACATTAGTTTTTCATTTTTAGATTATTAAGGTGTTTATTAATGACACTAACAGGCACGGGTCTTAAATTGAACTTCTCTATATGGGGTCTTGCAAATTTAGTGGAGCCTGACCCACATTTGTAATTTCAGAAAAGCGTGTAATTTATTAGCTTAGTAATCAGGATGGTGGGACATCTGACAAAACAATTATTGAAGGCATTTGCTACATATAGGGGGTGTTGCAGTGTTTGGTTGTGCACTTTGACAGTGGAGGGTTGAGAGTGGATTTCAGGGATGTTTGTAAGTTACTTATGATTTTCAAAAAGTTTTTAGAGTTTGATATGTTATTGTTATGTTAATGTTGTTTGTTTTGTTCATGTAGTTTACCATTGTATATATACACAGTGATTGTTCATGGAGCCAGTGCACTTGAACTTTGACCTCAATGAGCCTCTAAACTTGTAAATTTTAATGAGGTCAGCTGTAACCCAAGGCAGATGTGCCCCTTTTACTCGCACTTTACGCAGCGGAGCATGCAAATTCCAAACTTGTGGGAGTTTGGACTAAAAGAATTCAAGTGCACTTTCTAGATCTGGGATTCGATTCAATATGAGTCATGGATTCAATCAGGACATGTGGAGAGAATACAATTCAGCAAAGTATGATTAGGGCTTTTCATATTAATGTAAGTTTGTGAGGAAATTAATTGCATTGGCTGCAGAGTCTTAAACAGTGACCATGATCTATTACTTTTAGGATTTAGCCAATCAATATTAAAATCTCCAAAAACAATAGTTCACTTTTTTGTTTTGAGCTACGGTTTCACTAAGGAGTTGGGTTCTGTCGGAAAGGGAATGTACCAGAGAGCAAAGTGGGTGGTAGATAACAGCAACAATGATGGGTTTACTGAATGCCATCTCAATTCTACATGAAAGGAAATCAAAGGTGGCAGGAGAGCTAAAGTTTTGTAAAGAGGTGGACTTGTCAACAAACATAACAATGTCTCCTCCTCTTTTTGCTCTGTCATTTCTAAAGCATGCGTACCTATTTATTGCAATGGTCGAATCACATATTTTTGCTGTTAGCCATGATTCTGAGAGCATAATGATTTGCAATTTGGAATGGGAACATTAAGCTTGCAGTGCATCCAGTTTATGTAGTAATCTGTGTATGTTACAGTGCACAAAAGAGAGGCTTTTTTAGCGGGAAGACTAAGAATAGAATCCGCTTGGAGACAGGGTCAGACTCCACATCATTTGCAAGGGCAAGTAACATAATAAATAGAAATTTGGACATAGCATGGAAAAGCCTTCATAAGAAGGCTCAGTGTGCAAGAGTTCTTGGAGGGTAAAGGAGGATTAAAGAGACACCATAGTCACCAAAACAACTTTCTCTTAATGAGGCAGCTTTGGTGTATAGATGATGCCCCGGCAGTCTCACTGCCCAATTCTATGGTATTTAGGAGTTAAACCACATTGTTTTACAGCGCTAGTCACAC